TGTTTGGGAGGGATTAAAATCAGATTAAAATTGAAAATATAGCCGTTATTGTTGACTTTTATTAGACGGATGGGACCCAATAACGGCCATATTTTCAATTTTAATTGGATTTTAAGCCCTCCCGAACGGGGCCTTAATTATCTGTTCATAAAAATTTACACGGAACATTTTTAAATAACAACTAATCTTTTCTTGTTTCCCTTTAAGAGGACAATTTTTTTCTTTTTTATTATTTTCAACATGTACTTGACAGAGGGGAAAGATACAAACATTCATGGAATGGATTCAGGATATCGTTTTAAATTAGCTGGCAAACAATAATGTTAGACACATGTAATTTAGGCTTTAAACATTTTTTTTTTTATTTGATTAGATGTCACAATTATTAAACTTTGTTGTTTATAATTATTACTTGAGTGATGCTACACCTGTAGCATCAGGTGTAGTATCACAGGGGAGGGGGATGGTTCACTGTCAGGCTACTCACTGTACATGGGGGTGTATTTTTTTATTTATTTTTAAACATGTGGGGCCCGTCAGTGTGAGAGACCTAGCAGACCCCTGTGAGTTTGCTCCCTGTACTTGGAGCAAAACTCTTATTACTTTGATTATTAAAATATTTTCAAATACTATTTTCTATGGTAATTAGGCTTAGCCCAGCAAACAAATTGGCCAAATGTGGGGTATGGTATCATAATATCTTTATAATAGGGCATGTCTACTATATTATTCGTAAATGGCGAATGAGGGATGTCAATGCAAAAAACTCAAGTCGGGAGATCCGATTACCTTATATTCTATGGAATACAATAAAATGATCCTCTTTGAATTAGATTGCTTGTTTGATGTTACAATTTGTGAGGTGGTTCCTTTCTTTTAATGAATCATATTCTTGATTTGGATTGTGCAAATAACGGTAGAGGTGTTAAAGTTGATATGCCTTTGGTGAAGAGTGAAGAATAGATCGACTTGCTTCACGAGTCTGGATTAGTCAGATAAAAAATGGTGACACTTACAGACCATTAGGATTAGACCCGATTTCTTAAGTTTTTTCATTTAAAATTTTTGTGGATTATATTTTGAAAAATGAGAAATTGAAAAATGTCCCCATATACTAGTTAAGACAGCCAGTGCAGGCTTTGGCTGTCTTGAAATTTGACAACATTAACTTGATTGGGGAAATTCTATCTAGGACCTTAACCTTTAAACATTTTGATGATGGAGTCCCCAAACTTCCATTTTTATACATCGGGTCCCTAATCTATAAAAACTGTGCGAGAATGATCCTTATATGACGAGAACTGTTATTGTAACCATTAATGGAGTCTAAATTCTCATATTTTAATGTTTGCTTTTTAATGTATCCGACCTTTAAAATTGAAGAAAGTTTTTTTAAGTTTGAGAAATTCAGAGTGGTGAATTATCTCTCAAAGCTGTTTGACACCTTATTTCGTAACGTATTTGACAAAACTTTTGTTTGGATCCTCCAATATCAACTTGAGAATATGAGTACATGAAAGAACTTTTGGAAAATCGCAAAAACACAGACTAAACCACCACCATTTGGAATTGCAGATTCTTGTACAATGAAGAACTTTGGACAAGGCACGTGTTAGTGCTTTCTGTAAGACCCTATCCCCGCCCAGCCCATCCTCACCCCACCCCACTCCACTAAACAGTGATGCATTTGGAGGATTCTTACGAATGGTCTAGGATTGGTTGTGCAGGAACTATAGACATTGAACTTAGAGCCCAACCTGAGGTGAGGTCCAAGAGGCCGCTGCCTCAGGCCCAGCTGGGTAGGAGGCCCAAAAAAATTATGTTCTTTTAAGCCTCCTTTTATTCTATTTCTAATGCACGGTCTCGATCATTCTTCTCCTCTCCAGCCAAAAACCCTAGAAAAAATTGGTACGATTTTTCATTTCTATTAGGCCCTGTTTGATGGGCAACATTTTCCATGGAAAATGGAAATTTTTTTCCACTTTCCAAGTTTTATAGTGTTTGATAGGAAATTTTTTCTCATTTTCTCCCACACGTGCACATTTTCCGCATTTTTGTTGAAATTATTTTCCCACCTTTTAAGTGAGTTTTCATTTTACATCTTTTTTTTTTTTTTGTAATAGGGAAAA